GACCAGACTGTCTGTCACCATGGTAACTGATGTTGGGTTACATAATGTTTCAAATTTATAGTAGGAGGGATTTAGACTGATGTCACCATGCATGTGAATGTGTTTGAGTAAGAATTAACAGAGCAGACCATATGCGAAGGTAGACATTATGCATTTGCTTTGCAAATATTACCTAAAGTTTCAAGTTGTAAGAAGAGACTGTTGTGTTCCCAGGGCCATGGCTGCCTGCCGATGTTGTACCTACATGATGACCAGGGAAACATCACCTTCCTGCACAAGCTGGACAAGAGCAGCAGTCAGTCCGGAGGCGGCGAGACCATCTCCGCCATGAAGCGTTTCCAGACCATGGACCGCATGGCTGCCACCGAGGTGTCCACCACTGACCCCAACACCATCCACCAGAACACCATCACGTGAGAAAACAATACAGTACAGGGGCATGTTGGCAAAATGTACTGCGCCTGTGCAAAACCTTGATTTTTTCACAATTTCCGTTGAATGTTTGATCAACGTTGCATTAGAATTTTGCCTGTTACAGACAATATCTTTTCCGACCTAACATTTGGAAACTACAGATGGATTGTTAACCTTATATGCACGAATGCGACCTTATATAAGACATTCTTCCAAAGTGCTATGCACAATACATTACAGGTTTCGCACAGGTGCAGTACGTTCTGCCAACATGTTCACATTTCCTACCACTACAAGTGACACAAAAAGGACTGAAAAATTTTGGTCATATTTACAGCATTTTCCCAATTTTGATGGCAGTTTCGTGTTGTACTTTTCATGTAGGGAACTGTAATTTTCATGTAAGAAAATATGTACAGAAATGTGAAAATGCGAATCAAATTATATCCAAACCAACTATACAAGTCCTGACAAACATACTTTGTCATACAATGACTGCAGTATGCACTTACAAGTAGCAAGAGATGTACTTTGAGCAACAAGATGAAACTAAACTTTTTGTTTTCAAGCAACCAGGTTCAGACATGTTTTTATCCTTCCTAGTCAGGTGATGGTCCACACTGGCTCCAAGGAACAGTGTGAGAAGTTTGTCACCGTGGCTATGGACGGCAAGATGGTCACCTGGGACTTCAAGGTACACTCAAACTGTGTTCTTGCAAACGATGAACAGTATGATGTTTACTATGAAAAAGCTAGGAAAATAGAAAAATTGTGGGGATTTGATGTCAAATTTTTAAAAAAGTTATAAGACTTACCTCAGTTAGATCATGAAAAGGAAAAACCTTTGCAGAAGGAAAACATTGTTTTTGCTATGTTTCCTCTCCTTCTTTAAACCCAATAAGGTCAGTGACCTGAACCAGACGTCTGTCACCATGGTAACTAGTTTTGGGTTACGCCATGTTACAATTTTATAGCAGGAGGGATTTAAACTCCTGTCTTACCGTATGTATGAATGTGTTTGAGACCGTATGCAAAGGTAGACATTAAGCATTTGCTTTTTCAAATGTTACCTTTCTAGTATTCATGATCATTTGTTGCTCATTTTTCAGTCGCTGGAGAAATCTATCCAAGGCCTGAAGCTGATGTAGACACAAGACAACATCAACTGACCAAGGCTGTCAACTCTTCACAATCACATGTACAATATTACCATGTGATAAATATATAGCAAAGGAACATGAAATGAAGATATACACTTTGTACGAGAATGTAAAGACGGAATGTTACATACTTTTAAGATGCAGAAGAGGTAACAAGTTGACATGAGGAGGGTACAATAAACAGTAGTCCAGGTGAACATGCTGTGTTCGTATTTCTTGGAGGATGAATTTTTTTATCAGCCTGTTTTCTGGATCTGTATACTCAGTATACAATGTAGCACATACATGTAAGCTTTCCAGGTACATGACACCAGGGCTCTACGTAGCTCAGATTTTTTTTTTCGTCAGCCCAAGTTCATGATTGAACCTTTTGGGAAGAGTGTTCGCAATCTAGGGGAGTCCAAGGACAAATTTTGTATTTTCAAGCCTTCAAAAACTCAATTTCCCACATTTTGTGGGTTGAGACTGACTGTTGGTGGTCCTTCTGATGTTTTTATATTTTTACCCAAGATTTTTGCCAATTCTTTCCATCAAGGTAGAGAGATTGGTTTAGAAATATTTTCTGTCACATGCCACAAAGTTCCTGCAATTCTTGGAAAAGCTGGTGCTCCCTAGAGCCCTGTATTGCACTTATCCTATAACAGGACATACAGCCTATAAGCTTAGTAGCCGTTATGATTATCACTAAAAGGTAAATATCAAATGAATATCTTACATCTATGCCCGGAATGCATAAGAAGTTTGCACAAGTGTTTTCTTCTTCTATTGGTCTTTTTTTCCTTATTATGTTTACCGAAGGAAAACATTGTTTTTGCTCAATTTCTTCTTCTTCTCCAAACAGTGACCTATGGCCTGACTAATCACATGATTTGTTGACACCTGTCACCATGGTAACTGGTGTTGGGTTACATAATGTTGCAATTTCATGGTCTGCTCTGCTCCTTTCACCATATACCAGTAGTAACGTTACATGAGAATATAACAGAGCAGACTATATGCAAAGGTTAACATTATGTATTTGCTTTGGAAATATTACCTTTCTAGTTAAAAGTTCAAAATTCATTGTTTAGATATTAGCCCAGCCTTTTGTGTTGACTTCATGGCTCCTACTATAGGATTTTGGGCTATAATAGGAGCATTTTTCTGAAAAAATCCGAGAACCAACAAATTAAATTGGTGTTGCCTTATTCTACCACGGAATTAAGTCCCTGCGAAAGTAAAATTTACAGTTAACAGTTACATGTAATAAGAAAATTGGGCAAGAGTGATATGTTTCATACTGTGGCCACAAAACAAACGTTTATTTGTGAAGATAGAAATACGAATTTAAAGGTGCCCTGTGGCTGCATTTTCATCCATTTTTTTAAAACCGAGATTGACATCAACGTTAGTATCCTTCGTAATTAGATAATCTAATCGTCCTTCTTCGACATATATATAAGTGCCTGGCACCGAAACGGGCCGTCATTGGTCGTCATAATTAGATTATCAACTAACATTATTTATGCACGGCCGTTCTGCACACCTGTGTAAAAACAAGTTTGGCATGGTCCCTTCAAAATGGCGCTTTCGTACGACGGGAATACTGTGGGCTGATTTTTTTCACAACTTTCTGGGTACTTTTAGACGTTTTCGTCGGTAGGATGTCTTAGTAAGTGTGCAGCAGAATGTTTGGGAGTTTTCGCTGTGGATTTGTGCCGTTCTGGTGATGTTTTGAGGAGAAAATGCGGATTTCCTGACCTGGCGAATTTTGGAGAAGACAAAAACGGCGAGACAGTTGGGAAGAGTAGCGTGGTATGGACTAAAGAAGACGACTTCGCTCATTGTTTCAGGTAAACCAATACATTGTTTGGCTGACATTATTCCTTACCAACTAGTACGTATTCCGTAAGAAATGAACTATTTCAGAATTACGTAGCGACCGTTCCTAATTTCACATAGGCTTAGAAAAGTCCATCAAGTTGCCGCGTTTTCAACAACATTTTCAATGTGTGGTGCGCTTTTAGAGTGTTAAATGTATGTGCACGTCTTTTTAGTCAGTTGTTCAGCGTTTTTAGGTTATATTTGTCGAAAGAAATTCTGCATTGACCAAACCATTTTCTCTCTTTATCTCTACGTGGTTCAAAACACCTGTTGGAATGTGGCCGTGTACATAATTATTTTTCCCGCCAAAAATTTGCGTGAACAAGATGGGGACCTCGAAGCTTCAGGACGCCGAAATGAATACGATACAAAACGGTTGAAAACGAATACGATACAAAACGGTTGAAAACTAGTTAAGTCGAGTTGACCATACTTTGAAATTCGTTCTTCTTTATCATTTGCAATGTATCATTTATAATTTAAAAGCTTGTTCGTTTCCTTTTTAGAGTAATTCAGTAAATAGTAATGACCAAACCCAAGTACATGTATTTCTGGCGCAAACACTAACGTTACAGATGACTATGCTTGAAGGTAGCAATTCCTGTTTTCAAAATATTTTGCGCCGAGTTATTTCGTATTCCACACAAAGTTTCAGTGAAGGGGGTTGATTTATTTTATTGTTGTTTCTATCCCCGTTTTTATGGTCATTATGTAGAGTTTTCGTCGAGGTATGTGTTTGTTTTAAAGTAAAGATATTTAAGGTGTGTGTGTGCATTGCTAGTTTTTAATTTGAGAGAAGTGTCCAACTTATAATGTATATGATTAGATGAAGGCTGATGCAGTAGTGAGAACTTCTGTCTGAACCTGACAAGACAGACTGGACCAGACCAGGTGATTTGAAGACCGAAGAGGAATATCAGGTGAGAAAATCCCAATTATGCATTTTCCCTACCATTTACATGTACTTGGTGTTATTTGAGACAATGCAGTAGTGAAGACTAGACAGACTGGACCAGACCAGATGATTTGAAGGCCCAAGAGAAATATCAGGTGAGACAAATCTGAATTCTGCATTCAACATATTATTTACTTCATGTTGTTTGAGACATTATGTAACTTGTAATGTCTGTATAGTTAGATGGCTGCTGACTGATGCAGTATTGAAGACTTGTCTGAACCTGACAATAGAAGATTGGACCAGATCGGGTGAGAGACACAAGAGCAAGATGACAACAACAACATCCACAGGTGAGACAATGCTTTAGAATATTTGTTTGACTCCCTCATGTCTTACACTTTATAGAAATAACACACATGAAGAAAACATCTTTCACATAAATTTTGTATTGCCTTTGACTTGAATAAATTACTACACTAAGTATATTTTCTTGCAATTGAGCACTTGTTCTAGGAAGAGGCAAAGTAAAAGGTCGCATAAAAAAGATCATCTTTACCTGGTAGCTAGTTACCCATTCATATACAATAGTCATGTACCTGGCATCAATTGTTTTTTTATAATTATGCAGTCCTGATGTTCCTGTCCAAACCAGGCTAGATGAGACAGCTGACTTTGAAGTTGAAGACAGAGTGAAGAGTTTGTACATGCTTTCAACTTTATTTTTTCTCTGTGTTAAGAACTCAGAGGCATAACAAGCTACTATTAACACTGTGTACATATCTAAGCAAAGGGATACTGGTTAAATTGCAGGATTTTATCACTTTCATAGTCACCTAGTTGCCTGGAAATTTTGGGGCGAGCATCACACTAATTATTCATTATATTAGTTAGGTGTGTCCTGATGTTCCTGTCCTGACTGGGAAAAACCAGCAATGACGGCTCAGCAAACCAGTTGACCTGAAGACACAGAGTTTGTACCTGGTTATGCAGGTGAGACAATACTTAACAGTGTCATAGATTTTTCCTTTCCTATTGGATGTAGTATTAAGAGCTTTGGCATACTCGGCTTGCTACCAGTAACACTGAAAAGCCTATCTTTTTGTGCATCGATTCAAGCAACTTGCTTGACAACTTACATGACTTATTTCTTGCCTCACATGTTATTATTATTAAGAACTTTGAGGTGTAACATGCTACAAGTACAATACATTTTGTAACACTTTTCAAAGCAGTTTTTTAGAGCCTAACTCTTTCAAAATCTATTCAATCAATGGGAAAGTTGAATTGCATGATGCTATCATTAGTTTGGTTATTCAGTGTTGCCTGGGGATGTTTTTCCATCACATATCCTTTAATATTATTTTTAGGTGTGTGCTGAGGCTGTCCAGTCTGGGAGAAACCTGCGATGACAGCTCAACAAACCATTTGACTTGAAGGTGCAGAAGGAAATGAAGACAGCAAAGCAGTGAGAGAAGACAGTGGGCACAGTTGTAACTTGTGAGTATATTTTATTTGTTCAGCAACACACCCAGGCTAATAAATTTCTATCCTATAATCCAATCATCCAGTCTTTAAAGCTTTCCCTGCTATTAATTGCATAGTATGTCACACTTTTCTAGACTCCTTTTCACATCCTCAAACAATTAGTCTGACAAAAGAGGTAACACATTGTATAATGTCTCCAGTATAACCTCCTTGGCCCCACATTGCACTTTTAGTCATTTGAGATACAGCATGTCACACTTTCTGCACTGTGCTTTGGACCTTTACAGGCAGCATTTAGCTCCATTCTTACTGTTATCAACTTGCATGTTGTGTGACATAATACATGTATCTTGCATTGGTAAGGCCAATTGCTGTTGTCAATACAGTGACTTTTGTTTCTCTGTCTTCAAGATGCGGACCCGTAGATTGGACTGCAGCAGGAGGAAGAACCAGACTTTTGTAGGCAGGGCTGCATAAAAGAAGATGGGGAGGAGTGAGTATGGTTTCTTTATTAACACGAGACAACATGCACACACTTGCACTCACATTTCTCTTTTTTCATTTAACGTTTATTGTAGCTGGCGACTTCAATTTCATGTTAAGCAATACTGAAAAATTCTTCATATTGTATGGTTGAATGCCAAATTGCCCCTAAACTCCCGCCAAAAAACTTTGCATCTAAGCCGGCCGCATTGATTCCATGTTGTTATCCTCTTCATATCATATGCATCCCAAATTGCCCCTACAATTGTCACTTTAGACCTTTACACTTAAATTTTCCTGCTGAAAAACTTCGTATCTTACCTGGCAGCATTAATTCCTTAGTATCGTATGAATGCCAAATTGCCCCCAAAATTGTCGCATTGGACCCTTACACTTAATTTCTCCCACCGAAAAACTTTGCATCTAAGCCGGCCGCATTAATTCCACGTTGTCATTCTCTTCATATCA